TTGTGTTTTCTTTGCTAGACCGGGGACTTATTGACCGATGTGTTATCACTCGTAAAAAAATTTTATGAATTAAATTTATGAAATGGTAATTCTCGGTTTAGGCGGTGAAGATGTACGCCTGGGAGAAAGCCAGATTGTGTCAGTAATCAGAAAATTAGAGATCAATCAAATTAAATTCTTGTCGTAAGTGCGCGCCGCATATTTGGCCATCATAGTCTTCACTAAACCATTGACCGACTATTTCACTTTGATAACGTTTGTCTTAATGGAAAATAATTTGACTGCCGATGTGACCTATAAAATGTCAATATACTTTAACATACGAGTACTTCAACTCGTCGCGTTGTACTTTCCGCAAGGGCTATATAATACTGCTGAGTGAATCAATAGTGTCATTCAATCGATTGGAGATATAACACATCGGTCAATAAGTCCCCGGTCTAGCAAAGAAAACACAAGTGTTACATAAAAATTCGAATTTATTCATCAATATAGTTTCCTTTTAAGGCAATACAATCAGTCCAACGCCTTTCCAAACGTTCGATGCCGGTTTTGTAGAACGATTTTGGCTGACCCTCAAAATACGCATCAGTTTCGGCGATGACCTCCTCATCCGATCGAAATTTCTTCCCAGCGAGCATTTTTTTGAGCTCAGCGAATAGGAAATAGTCGCTGGGGGCCAAATCTGGCGAATACGGTGGGTGCGGGAGCAGCTGGAAGCCCAACTCGTTCAATTTAACCATCGTTGCCATCGACTTGTGACACGGTGCATTTGATCCACAGTGAGCAAACGCGGCACCCACTTCGAACACAGCTTCCGCATCGACAAATGATCGTGTAAAATGGTAAAAACACTTCCCTTGGATATCTTTACGATGTCAGCAATATCATCCAGCTTTAATTTACGGTCGGACAAAACCAATTTATGGACCTGCTTGATTTTTTCGGGGACAACTGCCTCATTTGGGCGACCAGAGCGGTGTGCATCGTCGGTGTCCGTACGACCGCGTTTAAAATCAGCATACCAGTCGATAATTGTTGATTTGCCTGGGGCAGAGGTGCCATAATGTTTGTCCAACCACTGTTTTGCCTCAACGGTGTTTTTTCCCATCAAAAAGCAGTGTTTAATGAGCACACGAAATTCCTTTTTTTCCATTGTTATGAAAATAACCAAATTAGCGTCACTAAAGCTTCAATAACTCACACAATAATGATCCGAATGACATATACATTTGACAGTACGCCTAAAAGGGTCTGTTCTTTCGAACCACTATGTACTTTTTGTGTTAGTGACGCTCTCTATGTGTCAGACCGGGGACTTATTGACCGATGTGTTACTTGGACCTTAATATTATTCGTATTATTCATTCGTATTATTCTATTTATCCTATATATTGTTTAATAATAAAATAACTAATCAACTTTTTGGGGATACCTGTATCCTAGCTATAAGTTCGCTCATTAGTTGTACTCTTCGGTCCGTCAGTAGCGCAATCATGGTTCTGAGTTTGAGATTCAAGAAGCACAAAGTCTCTTGTCCTGGGAGGACAATGATCAACAATGTCCCAATGCCAACCAAATACAAAATACCGACTTTTTGCCACATTATTGTTCCTATGATTGCGGTCTGCGAATAAAAATAAAACTGGTGAGCTTTAAAAAACAATAATTTAAGAGCAACTTCAAAATAAGTGAAAAAAAGATCCTATATCTTTAGTAGTCTTAGTCTAAATTAACTCACGAGTTGTAAAATGTATACAATTAGCTTATATACACATATAATCAATATAGGTTTTCTACAAATTATACTATAATTATTAAAAAATTAATACTTATCAATAATCTACCGAAGAGGTTAATACATTTAAGTTAGAAGTTTAAATTTAAGACTTTTGTTCAAGAGTGTAATCGAAATTTTCTGTGCAATGTATACTGTTACTATGGAATGTATACGAATACTTTCACGAGATAAAGAATTACCATAAAAGACATGATCCATATGTAATTCAAGTACATTGTTAATTGATCGAAGCGAATGACATCGTTGCTGAGAAGATTCATGATCTGTCCGATTTGGTTCATGGCTGCAGTGTTCAACCGTAATAACTATAACAGTATTAAAAATAATTATAAATTAAGTAATAGATGTTTTCACTTTTTTTTGCTCCATCCATACATCTATCAATACATACAAGCACAACATGAATTTTTCTTTGGTTGATTTTTACAAAAAAGATATACAAAACTCCCTATAAAAATTGTAATAAAACTGAATAAAGCAGCTTAATATCAATTAGAATCATTCATCTTGTAATCAACCATTTGTAATATATCTGATTGTGAGACACATACATTCCCATACATGCTTATTCTCTTTTTGTATGTTATTATTAATAGTGGTACTATATTTGTATAAGTATGTTTCTATGATTTTATAATATTTCATAAGAATATAAAGTTTTTGATTATTAAATTATAAAAAAATTATTTAATTAAAAAATTATAAAAAAGTTTTCTACTTGTTACTGTAACAAATAAAAATTGCAATTTTTTACTTAACTAGATTTTTGTCTATTTACAGTCTCCTGGTAAAAAAAATTTCTTTTTTCATATGTAATTACATTTCATATATAAAAACATCACTTTGTCAAACTATGTAAAAATTTACATAATTATGTATAATTTATTATAAAATTGTGTTAACATTCCGTATATATGGGTAATTCTTTTACAAATCGAACACCTGTCT